CTCAGGTTCAAATATGGATTCTCCCACTTACTGGCTGTGTGATCTTGATAAGATTACTCAACCACCTTGGTACTGTAGGATAATGGCACCTACCATGTTGTACTGTTATGAGGACTAAATATAATAATATTTTTAAAGCACGTACCCATTGTTCATTAAGTGCTTACTTTATTTCAGGCATCAAAATATTATTTTCATATGTCTGGCTCCAGGACAAATGAGATTTGTTCTACTGAAAAATACATTTCCATTGTAACTATTTTTCTTGGGAAATGGACACTGGCACAATCTCATACTCAGCACTCCCTGGGCAAATGTGACCTTGAACTAACCTTTTTTGCTTTGATCACCAGGTTGTTCTTAAGTGTGTTGGAGTCTAAGGACCTTAAACATAAAATTAGTAATACAACTTGACTATAATATGGCAGTTTGAATTCAGGTGTCAACGCAATGTTTAAAATGGGATGTGATATAATTCAATAATAGCTCTTTCTGTTCTTAAAGGATTGGTGAATTTAGGGTTGGCTAGCACAGCTGGAAATCCTTAGTGGTAAAAACAGTTAAATTCATGACTATGAACTGAAAGGTTGGTGATTTATATCCACTGAAGAGGCCCTCAGAAGAAAGACCTAATGACCACAGCCATTGAGGACCCTATAGAACACAGTTCTAATGTGACACATATGGGGTCTATGTGAAGGCAGAATTGACCCAATGGCAATTGGTGTTTTAGGAGCACAGCTCAGCCTTAGAATGATTGGCCACTCTTGACAAGAATTAGTACCCTACTCAGATGGCCCTACAAAGAAAAGACCCAGAAGCTAACTCTCCAAGGCAGTGACAGACTGCAGGATATACACTTGATTTATCTGCTACCCTTGTGCTGAGATATGGTCAGAAATGGTATTCCTTCCCTGATAGAATGAAAGAATTCAGTTTCCCTGGGACCTGTAGGCAGGAAACTCAACCCTCATCCCTTTCTACCTGCTAGAAAGCTAGAACCTTGCCTGGAGTTTGAAAAACTGACAGCGATACACCTCAGAGAAGTCCCAATGGTGTGCCAATGGTGAAAGCACTCAGCTTCTGGGCTTTGGGTCTCAGGCCCATAGTCTCAGTGGACATCACGGTGAGCTGGCATAACATAGTCCAAAAAGACAATGTTCTACATCGTACTTTCGTGAGTAGCATCTAGAATCTCAAAAGCTCATGAGCTTTAGTTATATTATTTCATGTGATTTGATACTTTAAGAATGAATCAACTACTACTTCTACCGTAATTTCCACTATTACTTCTATTTCCCTAGATTGTTCACTGAGAGTTCACTAGGTACAAATACTACCTCACTTAGTCTTCACAAAAAAAAGACATGAAGAAGAAATGTCATCCCCTTTTACCCAAGGGAAAATGCAGGTGGAAAGAGATTCATTTTCTTGGTTGCACACCTAGTAAGGGCTTTTTTTTTTTTTTTTTTTTATGCAAATCATAGATAAAAGAGCTAAAGTAAATAGACAGAAATATTGTTAAACTGATGGTACATGGAGGGAATTATAATAATTGTAATGAAAGAAGGTGTAGGATTTGTTGAATGTAAAACTGATGTTCGGCCCTGTACACTTTCACTCAATTCACAACAAAAAACTTAAAAAAAAAAAAAAAAAAAGATGGAAGGAAGGAATACACAGTCACCAAAAAGAAATGATCAATGGCCAACCATTTCAATGGCAGCTTTTCTGGTCTTTAGTCATTAGTGTCTAACGCATCAAATCTGTTCTTGAGATGATGTCTAACTAAATTCAAGTGGGATCATATTTTGGCTCTAGTGGAGTTTGATTTTTCTTAAGCTTCAGCCTGCACTTACATATGAGCAACTGATGATCTCTTCCACTGTCAGCTCCTGGCTTTGTTTTGACAAAAGGACACAGGACAAAAGATTTTCCTTTTTCTTCTCCTATTTCTTTCTCCATTACTACTGGTTCCTTTGTTTTCCTATGCAATTTTAAAAATGAAACTCTTTACCTATAATTAGATTGCTTTCAAATCCTTCCCACACTGTTCTTGAGGGCACAATCACCACTTGTTGATTTGTTTGTCACCATTTCTGAATCTCAACTCTTCTATCTCATGGCCCAAATAATCCACAGCCAGCCCATGAAGTAGAAGTTACATAGCCTTAAAAATACCAGTGACTGGTTATCAGGCATGAAATAGGAATGATTACACTAGGGACTGGAATGACGTTTTTAATGTAAATCATAGATAAAACACCATAATGTCTAGGTTCTTTGCCTTGTACCCATATACCAGCAACTCCCATAGCATTAACCTCTTTCTATTTGGAGGAATGAAGAAGGGAACCATTGGCACTACGAAGAAATGTATCCTAGCTTTTAACAAGCTCCAGCTCAAGCAGAGGTTCCTAATTCACAACATTCCTCTTTCTTAAAGTGTTCTTTCCACAGGCGTTCTCATGATAACTTTCAAGATGACCTCAAGTCCCATAAGTATTCTCTGATGCCAGCAACCAATGTGATATGGATTGAGGGTTCATACCCAATATCCTATAGAAGTCCCATAGAAATCTATTGTTGTTGTTAAGTGCTGTTGAGTTGGTTCTGACTCATAGTAACCCTGCATAGAATTTCTAAGGAGTGGCTGGTGGGCTTGAACTGCCAACCTTTCGGTTAACAGTGTAGCACTTATCCTACAGTGCCACACCAGTACTCCAGAGCAACCTATTAAACACTTATAACGTATTGCACTGGGCAAATCTGCTGCACAGGAACTTTTTAAAGTATTGAAGAGCAGAGATGTCAGCTTGAGGACTAGGGTGCGCCTGACCCAGGCCATTGTGTTTTCAATAGCCTCATATGGATGCGAAAGCTGGACAGTGAATAAAGAGGATCGTAGAAGAATTGATGCCTTTGAATTGTGGTGTTGGAGGAGAATACTGAGGGTGCCATGGACTGCCAAAAGAACCAATAGATCTGTTTTGGAAGAAGTGCAGCCAGAGTGCTCCTTGGAGGCCAGGATGGCTAAGCTTCGTCTCTCCTACTTTGGACATGTAGTCCGGAGGAAACAATCGTTGGAGAAGGATGTCATGCTGGGTAGGGTGGAGGGTCAGAGAAAAAGAGGAAGACCTCCAACGAGATGGATCGGCCAGGTGGCATCATTGATGGACTCGGGGGTGGCAGCAGTGGTGAGGTTGGCCCAGGATCGAACATTGTTTCGTTCTGCTGTGCATGGAGTCGCTATGAGTCGGTTCCGACTCGATGGCACCTGACAACAACAACAACAACAATTATCCCCATGAAAAGGTAATGAGGACCCACATTTGCAGATAATACCCACTTGACCTGGATTCAATGACTAGATGATCAGAGCTCAACCAGAAGAAGAAAGAAGAGGGAAAAAAGTATAATCTGATACAATTTGATGAACTTGACATACACCTAAGGATGCAGTAGCTCAAAAAAGGGAACAAATCCTTACAACAAGGATCATTCCCACCCCCTCCATACACAGAGTAGACAGGGATGGGCAACTTGGACATTGGCTACCCAAAATGGGGGCGGGGGGCTACAAAGGCAAGAAGTGACTGGCTTACAAGCTTTCAAGAGGGAAGCTAGATTCATAGGGCATGGAGGAAAGTAGAATCTCCACTGAGTAGTATCCAATCTGTCTAGGCAGGGCTCATGAATTGAAATCCGGATGGATCTCTTGTAATACAATAGTGAATAAGTATTATCTGGACTGCTTGTGAGGGTTGGAATTGTAAAGGTAGACACTTTTTAGCAAGGAAGGGAGTGATTAACTTTTCAGTTTAAGAGTGGAGGTCCCTGGGACCATCAAGGGAGAACAGCGGAGAGTGGGACCCTACCCAGAGAAGCAGTGATGCCAGAGATGGAGGCAGAGACGATGATGTGGAGAGATGGAGCTGTTGGGGACTTTAGACAGAGAGGGAGAGGGGTTGTGTGCTGATGATTGGGGGTCATGCTTGTAGTGTATACCCTTTGGATGGTTGATGATGCATGGAGGGGATTGTAACCATAGCAGTGAAATTATATACTATAGGACGAATGTAAAACTAATGTTCTCCCATGTAAACTATCACATAATTCACAATAAAAACATTAAAAAAAAAAAAAAAAAAAGTAATGAGGGTTCCGAAAAGTTAAAAGCTACATTGGTCCTCACAGTTTCAAAACGGGTTATAGGAGTGAAGCCCAGGTCTCCAGGTGTCTCTCAAGCCTGAACTCTTAAGTACTTTCTACATGATGCCACCTCCCCTACTTCCCTTCCTTTATGGCCTCCTAACATGTAGACTTGGTCCTTCTCAGTTAAGTCATTACATATTCCTATATAGTTGAGCTTTGATTGAGTATTGAAGTGGTTCCCCAACTTTATAAAAGATCCTTGAAGTAAGGGATGATATCTTGTACTTCTTCATTCCTCTTGTGGGACCCTTAGTATTGTGGCAATTGCATGGTGATTCATTAAGTGAAGGCTGTAGCAATTGGGTGCAAAGAATAAGAAAAAGGAAGACATTATTTTAATTCAGTTCTACTTTAATGCTTTATGATAGGTACTATTATTTTTGGTAGAAACAAGTTTTTTGAGTTTTTCTGCAGCTCATAAAAATTGAGAAACTCATCAAAGTTCCTACACTGCCACATACAATTAGTTCCTGATTCCAAACCAGGTCCACAGTTAAATCTGTTCTAAATAGCTGCCCTTTGCAACATCCACTATTTTTTTCTTGAGAATGTGTTTTGTGAAATTTAAGATCACTAAGTAGATCTAAAAGAGATGGGGCTGCCAAGATTTGTAGGTCAGGGACACTTCTTGGCCTCATACCAGTGGATGACAGATGATGTCATTGAGTGGGAGGAGAAAAGATACTGCTCCATGTACAGATAACTGAGTCCATAATAAATATAAGGACAAGAGAGTTGGGGAGTGGAGCCACTGGTAGAGAAACTCACTCGCATCGATTGTCAAGATGAAGCTGTTACTGCTGTGTCTCGGCCTGAGTCTAGCCTGTGCTCATGTGGAAGGAAAGCCTAATGTTGTGAAACACAACATTAATATGACCAAGGTAGTAGAGTTGGTGGAAGAAGTGATTTCTGACATTAGGAGGGTGACTTGGGGGATTCTGAAACTAGGTGGATCCTATTGGAGAGTAACATAGCTTTGACATATACAAAACGATGTTTTCCTACTTTGAAGTAAGAGTAATTGTACCATGCTAGAAGATGGAAATTCTTGGGACCCTCCATTTTCCCTGGAAGGACAGGAGAAATAGTCCTGAGTGTGCTGTTATTTGCTTTGAGTTCAATCTTCACGTCTTATTCAAAGACACCACTATGAGTCCTGTGCCATAGGCTAGAGTTCTAGGAGAGAAGTATTCAGTATTCATGTGATTCCTTCCTCTTCTTAAGTTTCCCAATTATTTTACTGATTTATTGCAGGCTGCAGGAGTCTGGTATTCTGTTCTCTTGGCCTCCGATGACAGGGAACAAATAGAAGAAAATGGTAGCATGAGAGTTTTTGTGCAATCCATGGAAGTCTTGGACAACTTTTCTCTGTACTTTGAATTCCATACCATGTAAGTATGTTTGATCTTTTTTATCAGGTAGAGGAGAATACACACATGCATACACACACACAAGTGTTCATGTACACACACATCCTGGGGCCATGTTCAAAATCAGAGCCCCTCAGCTGGCATTGATCCAGGACTTGAGGGGCCTGGGGCTTTTCTAGATTGCTGATGAATGTAAATGGGGTTAGGGAGGTAGTGAGGAGAGGAGCATCAGAATCAGTAGTAGTGTGGTAATGGAACAGATGACTAGAATGAAACTTGGAATCAACAGCCACAATTTGAATCTCCCTTACTGGGTGTGCAACCAAGAAAATGAATCTCTTTCCACCTGCATTTTCCCTTGGGTAAACGGGGATGACAATTCTCCTTCACGTCTTTTTTTGTGAAGCCTAAGTGAGGTAGTATTTATAAAGCATTTATTTGAATCCTTGGTACCTAGTGACCTCTCAGCTAACAATCTAGGGAAGTAGAAGTAATAGTGGAAGTAGCCGTAGTAGTAGTAGTTGGTTCATTAAATCACATGAAATAATATAAATAAAGCTCTTTTAAAATTGTACCAAAAATGTTAAAAAGTTAAGTGAAATTGGAAACGCAAATCCTGGGAATAGTAGAGGCTAAGGGAGCCAGCACCTACTAACATCCTTTGAACTTCAGATCATTCTGTTTTACAGCAAAGATGGAAAATGTACTGACATTAATTTTGTTTGTGACAAAACAGAAGAAAATGGTGTATACAGCGTCAAATGTAAGTATACAGAAAAATTTAATAAAATTCTACTTCCAACTATAAAGAATTGATTAAATCCCAGTATCATCAGGACCTTGTTCAATTTCTGATCAATATTTATCTTAATAACATAATGGTAGACATCTAATAGCCAATATACTGAATATAGGAGAACTTTAAGTATTAACTTCATTGTCTAAAATTCAATATCATTTATGAGAGCTGACTTAGTCATACGTATCTCCTGCAGCGGGAGCATACTGGCTCCATATGCTAAGCACTGGACGGTGAGCCAAAGGTCTCGTTTCGAGTCCACCAGCTGCTCTGTGGGAAAAAGATGAGGCTTTCTGCTCCTGTGAAGATTTAAAAGCCTCAGAAACCATATACAGGGTCCCTAGAGTGGAAACCAACTTGACAGAACTTAACAACAGTGGCCAGTCTACCTGTATTAGTTATCTAGTGCTTAGTTATCTAGTTACCATAACAGAAACACAAGTGGATGGTTTTAATATACAGAAATGTATTTTCTCATAGTTTAGGGGACTAGAAGTCAGAATTGAGGGTGCCAGCTCTATGATACGAACAGTATTCTTTTTTCAGAATTTACCTCACAAAGCCCAGAGAAATGCAAATAAAGACCTTGGATATCCCCATTTTCTACCTCTTCCAGGATGGGCACTTGAATTTGTTTGTGGGAGAAAACAGGTAAAAGATTTCACAGCTTCTTATGGACCAATAAAGTTATGAACTATGTTCTATCTCCTCTACAGATGATGGATACAATACATTTAAAGCAGTTGAAACTAATTATGACGAGTATATTATGTTTCATCTCCAGAATGTCAACGATGAACATAATTTCCAACTTATGGAGCTCTATGGTAGAGTATTTTCATGCTGACATTCGTCTTTGGGAGGGAAGAGAGGGGAAAGAAGGAACCCTGGAGACAAAATGGTCTTCCCAGTCTTGTTCTGGAATGTCTTTCCCCCTCTGAAGATAGATGCTCACATCTGGGAGCCCCTCAGGCTTAGCGATGGGAAGATGATGAAATCTTTCATCATACCAGAAGGATGGATATTCTAGTAATGTCAAATCTCAGGGCAGCTTATATCGCTCTCATCTGTCTCAATAGCAGTTATTGTCACTCCCCACAGGCCGAGACAAAGATCTAAGTCAAGACATCAAGGACAGGTTTGTGAGGTATTGCAGACAACATGGGGTTCCTGAGGAAAATATACTTGACCTGACCACTGTTGGTAAGTTTATTATCTCTGGCTTTCCCTTCCTCATATTTCTATGTATTTTGAATAGAATTTTATTCCCCCAAAATATGCATTTATGTAGTAATGCAATTATCCTCCATTATGTGAGATGATGTGCTCAGCCAATTGCATTTTAAAATTGTGGTGGAACACTACACGCTTACTCAGGTCACAGTTCTGATTTGACGCAAGAGGAGTTTCTGAGGGTATGGTCTGCATCACGGTTTATCTTATAAGAGACAAAAGGAGAGAGAAATGAATATAGAAAGGGACACCTTAATACCACCAAGAATGAAGAGCAAGGAGCAGAATGTATCCCTTGGTGTTGGAGTCCATGTGCTGAGAACCTCTTAAACTTAGGGGAAGACTAATGCTGCGACACATGGAGATCTCCAAGGAACACCAGTCCCACATATGTTGAAATGAGACAATAATCTTCCCCCAAAGCCAAGAGAGTAAAAGCCTTCCCTAGAGGTGATGGCCTGAATTCAGACTTCTAACATCCTCAACTTTGAGAGAACAGACTTCCATTTGTTAAAACCTTTCATGTGGTATTTCTGTTAAGGCAGCTCAGAGAACTACGACAATTTATAGCAGAAGAGTAGGGTGCTGCTCTAACAGATACATAAAATGTGAAAGGAAGCAGTTTTGGAATTGAATAATGGGTAGAGGCTGAAAGAGTTTTAAGGAGCCTAAACGATGCTCCGCAGGAAAAAGATGAGGCTTTCTGCTCCCGTAAAGATTTACAGCCTGGGAAACCCTGTTCAGGGTTGCTATGGGTTGGAATCGACTCGATGGCACTTAACAACAACAAAATGATGCTATAGGATCAGCACCAGACTGCAAACCACAAGGTTGGCAGTTCAAACCCACCAGCTGCTCCTTGGAAACCCTATACAGGGGTGTTATGAGTCAGAACTGACTCGATGGCACTTAACAACAACAATAGTAAAAGGCTTGCTGGCAGAGTGGTGTGCCTCCTGGCACTTAACATATAAGTTAAAATGCTTTGTAACACTTGCCTCAGTAGGATAGAGGCCACTCCAGTCCAAAGACCCTAGGGGCTGTGGAGCCAGGGGTCCCCTGGGCCAAAGCGCCAAGGAACGAGGAAGCAGAAGCTGAAGAGACCAGGGGATTGGGAAACAGAGCTGCCTCAGTCTCAAAAGAGCCATGACCTTTGGGGTCTTAAAGGGTAGGGTCATGGCCTCTGGAATTATAAAGGGCAGGGAACACAGCCTCCTAAGTTTCAAAGAATAAGATGTTCATCCATTCAATTCTAGAGTGTGGGGCTGCCATTCAGAGTACCGGGGGGAAGTGGTCAGATCCACTGCCCCAAACTGAGGTAGCTAGGCTGCCATGCCCAAAGGGCAGAAGACCAGGGCTTGCCAGGGTCGTGGAGGTGGTATTGTACTCAGTTTAGGCTAGCTAATAAAGCAGAGTTGCCATCCAAGTAGACCTGAAAGGTACAGCTAATAACCAGGACTGAGGGTCAAACACCCAGAGTCTGGAGGACAGCACCACTGCCTTCATGGTCTCAGACAACAGGATTATTTTCAAGCTAATATAATACAATTGAGAGCTAACATAAATGATTTTGCTGGATGGTTTTCTTGCTGGGTGTCCATAGCTCTTCGTTCCTTTCCATTTCTGTCATTTGTAATTTAAGTGTCTACCTTGTGCCTATTCTGTTGTTGTACTTTGGAAGGAGGTAGCTTTTATTCTAGATTCACAGGTAAAGAGGAAGTTCACCTGGATGGAATTTTTACTTGGAGTTGATTCAAGACTTTGGTATAACGTGATGGAGTGAAAGTGTTTTTGCCTATGGCAAGGACATAAATTTTGGGGCATCAAAGAGTGGAATATCATGGATTGAATTGTGTACCTGCAAAATATGTGTCAATTTGCCTGGCGATGTGATCTGGTGGGATTAACCCACCAATTATAAGGGGATTGAGGTGGGATGCAGCCCCTTACTCAGGTCATAGTCCTGATATAGGAGGAGTTTCCTGGGGTGTGGTCTGCATCACCCTTTATTTTACAAGAGTTAAAAGAAAAGAGAAGTTGGCAGAAAACGGGGACCTTAATACCCCCAAGAAAGAAGACCCAGGAGCAAAATTCATCATTTGAACCTGAGGCCCCTGTGCTAAGAACCTCCTAAACCTAGGGGAAGATGGATGCCAAGACACATGAAGATTCCCAAAGAATACCAGGCTCACAGATGTTGAAAGGACACAAGGACTTTCCCTGAGAGCTGACCGAGAGAGAAAGCCTTCTCCCATGCTGTAGCTGATACCCTGAATTAGGACTTCTAATTTTCTAAACTGTGAGAGAACACATGAATACATTTGCTTGTTAAAGCCTTCCACTTGTGGCATTCTTGCTAAAGCAGCACTAGGTATATAAGACATTATGTTACTAAGAGGAAGAAGCCCAAGGGAAGGCAATGCCCCCAATGATTAGTTCCCTTTGTCCTAACCCAGTGGAGTTACTGGTTTCTATCTGGGGAATGAATTGGAATTAGTGTCTAAATGTGTTCTGCTCTGTCTCTATAGATCGTTGTCTCGAGGCACGAGATGAGAAAGAGACCCAAGGCGAGGAAGAGGCCTAGGACTCCAGGTTGGTGATCTCTGACTCTAGGGATCAATGCGGTTGCCTGGTGCCTTTCAAAAACATTTAGGGTTTGTGCCCAAAGACTACAATAAAATGATTTGGTAAGAAAGCTGTTGAGGACAGCTTGACATTTGGCATTGGAGGACTGGGTTCATGACCTGCTCCTACCATGAGCTGTTGAACAGCTTACCTAAAGGAACCACTGATGTCTACCTTACCGAATTGCTTTGTAAGTATTATGCTGGTGAAAAAGGCTCAGTAATTGATGGTGCTTGGTGGTTCTGTGCTGTGGAGTAGGTTCCGACTCCGAGAAACATTGTACAGGGTTTTCCGAGGCTATAAATCTTTACAGGAGCAGAAAACCTCATCTTTCTACCAGGGAACAGCTGGTAGTTTCGAACTGCTGACCATGAGATTAGCAGCCCGATTCATAACCACTACAATACCACAGCTCCATATATATATATATTTGTTGTTGTTGTTTGGTGCCATCAAGTCGGTACCGACCCATAGAGACCTTATGCACAGCAGAAGGAAACACTGCCTGATCCTGGGCCAACCTCACTACTGTTGTCACACTTGAGTCTATCAATGTTGAAACTCGGCCAATCCATCTCGCTGGGGGTCTTCCTCTTTTTCTCTGATCCTCCTCCACCTTACCAAACATGATCTCCTTCTCCAGCGACTGGTCCCTCCTGACAGTATGTCCTAAGTATGAGAGACAAAGTTTGGCTATCTTGGCTTCCAGGGAGCACTCTGGCTGCACTTCTTCCAAAACGGATCTATTGGTTCTTTTGGTAGCCCATGGCACTTTCAATATTCTCCTCCAACACCATAACTCAAAAGCATCAATTCTTCTACAGTCTTCCTTATTCACTGTCCAGCTTTTGCATGCATATGAGGTTATTGAAAATTCCATGGCTTGGGTCAGGCGCACCTTAGTCCTCAAGCTGACATCTTTGCTCTTCAACACTTTAAAAAGGTCTTATGCAGCAGATTTGCCTAATGCAATACATCGTTTGATTTCTTGATTGCTGCTTCCATGAGTGTTGATAGTTGATCCAAGAAGAATGAAGTCCTTGACAACTTCAATCTTTTCTTCGTTGGTAAGAATGTTGTTTATTGGTCCAGTGGTGAGGATTTTTGTTTTCTTTACATTGAGATGTAATCCATACCGCCAGCTGTGCTCTTTGATCTATGTGTGTATGTGTGTGAATCATGATCACCGATGAGACATTGGTGCTAACAAAACACCACTATGAAATTAGCCTACCTAATACAGTTTAATGGTTTCATTTAAGATGATCTGATAAGGTTTTCTCATTTAGCTATTGAGTCACTTTTGCTTTGCTTCCTTCTCCAATTAAAGGCCAGAGTTGGAAGATGCCTGGTAATTATGTCAATGCAAATTGAACGGATTGCTAGTGATAGTGTCTAGATGGCGTCTAAGTGATCGCATTTGATTCATGGAGAGACTTTAGTAGGTTCAAGGTTCTGATTTATGACTCAAAATGTCACAGCGAAGATACAATTATCAACTTAAGTTAATAGAAACAAACACAACAGTTTCAATTGCTTATTTTCCTATTACTTGGATACTACCAAGTTCGACCTGTGGCTTCTTGACCATTGCTATACTTTTATCATACAAATATGATCAAAAGTAACATTTTCAGACCATTGAAAGAGAGTCAATGAGGCTGAAGTTCACTTCTGGAAATGTAACAACACATGCATTGGTGTGTTAAGCCATAATTTCGTCATCTCTGTACGTTACATATGTAGGATTTCACTATTTGTGAAAAGAATATGGTAATTATAGGCAACTATGACTTTTCCCAGAGCCCTGATGTGACGGTGTAGGATAAGCACTGGACTGCTGTGTTAACTGCAAGGTCAGCAGTTCAAATCCACCAGCTGCTCTCAGAAACCCTATCCAGGGTCACTATGATTTGAACTCAATGCAAACAATAACAATAATGACTTTTGCTATTATTCCTTAATCTATCACAAATTCTTCAAGCTCTCTAGCCATGGAGATGGCTTTTTTCACAGTCTCAGTTGGAGGTTAAGATGGAATTGGGAGCAGAAAGAAAAAACTTGTTTTCTTTATGCCCTTCCTCGCATTGTCTTGGCAAATGGTGTGAGTTGAAATGCAGGTGAATGTCTTTTCTCACCCTTTGTCTCCATTGTGAAAATTATCTTTTTTCTTAATTCAGTCAATCCAAGGACTGCTTTCTAAGTTTGGTGTTATAGTTCTCTTCTTTTTTAGTGATTAGTGAATAATTGCTCACGTGGACTTCAGGATCTTCTCTTCCATGGTCCCCACATCATCCGTGATCAATTCTATGACCTGATTTCCATCACTTGCACAGGAAGACATCTTCAGCGTCTCCCCTAACTACGTAGGAAGATCCATCAATTCACCAAGAATCAAAAGTTTTCTCTGAAATTCTCTCTTTGCCACACTCCGGGTAGCTTTCCCAGCAATAAGACTTGCTGCTATATACGTGGTCAATAAATGATTAGCCTCGCTGTCATGTGATTTGTCTTTGTGTATGGGAGAGATGTGGCACTGACAGCAGTGCATGTGGTGGCTCCAAGGTTTCCCAAAGTCTTCCGTGGGTTTCAGGATCCTTCCTCCTCTGAGTAATTCTTTTTTCCTTTATCCCAAATCGCCAAGCTTTGCTGCTTGCCCTCTGATGAATCTATTTCTTAGTGGCCTGACAAGGCTGTTACACATACTGCAAGAATAGAATCTAGGGGATCCTCTAGGGGAGCATGGGACAGGGCCAGAGCTAGTGGGTTCTGAGCCTCAGGGGGA